CCGCGGCGGCCCGGGCAGCTGCGCAGGTGAAAGCGCCGCAGCGCAAGCGGTGAAGAGCCCGCAGCGCGGGGCGGGGAGCTCCGTGACGGGGAGCTCCGTGACACCGCCCCGCCGGGGAACCCTCCCCACGTCCCTCACCGGGCTGCGCGCCCTCTGCTAGGAACGCCCGCGCCCCTGAGGAGCCGATGCTCATTGGCCAGCTGGCGCCCCGCCTTCCCAGAGCGACGGCCTGCCATTGGCGGAGAGCGCCAGTGGGCGGAGCCCGCGCCGTCACCGCGGAGCCTCTTGGGCTCGGTGGTTTCGGGGCGGTAAGTTCCCGGCGTCCTCTGCGGCTTCCGGCAGCGGAGCGCACCGGGCGCCCAGGTGAGGCTGGCCGGCCGGGCGGTAGCGGGGGCGGCCGGGCCCTCCACGGCCCAGGCCCCGGCGCTCCGCGGTGCGGGGCCTGCCCCGCGGCTCGGGTGTCGGTTGCTGCGGAGGCGGCGGCGCTCGGGAACCGCCTGGCGGTGCCGGCAGGGCCTTCCGCCAGCTCCGAGCTGAGGGCCGCGCCGGAGCTCGCCCCCCTGCGGCCTCCCGGGCTGCCGAGCGGGGAGGCACCGGGCCGGGAASGCCGTGGCGGGGAAGGGTTGGCGGCTCCTCCGCCCCGCTCCGTTGGGCCGCGCCCGGTCCTTCCCGCCGCGCGGTGTCTGTTACCGCGTGCCGCGGGAGCGGAGCTGCCCTCCCGGGATCCCGAGCCCTGTGCAATCCCGTGTGGTCCCGCTGCACCGGGTGCTTGCTCCTTTCTAGCCTTATCGTCCAAAAGGGATTATTAAGGTGCTGTTTGCCGCATTTCTGCAATAAGCTGCTGCGATCCATTTCCCTTTCTCTGCCTTCCAGTCACTTTGTCTCCTTCCACAGCTAAACTGTCTGAATCCCCATTGTTGATGTTAATTATCTGCGCTTAGTTCCAGCACAGTGACTCTGACCATGGTGAATAGCTGGGTGCTGATAKGATAAGTATAATAACTAGAAGCAGATAATAACTAGACTCACAAGGCTAAAGTTATCAAAAGGATGTCAGCTTAATTAGTCCCGAAGCAAGAATAGCCTGGCATGTCTGTCTAGCTTATTCTTACTTGTCCATTAGTAATTATTTCAGTACTGTTGATTTTTACTTTCAGAGTGATTTCTGTGGTCTATAACCAAAATCTTCCTTGCTGTAATTTGTTTATTGCACCTTGTCATATTTGCCATGCCCTCAAGGAACAGGTTATTTCTATTCTCTCCCTGTTTGCAGCTGCCTTTCATGAATTTGAAGGCTGTTATCACATACTCCCTTGTGTCTTCCCTTCRTTAGTTGAGATAGCCCTGATGGGTGTAGTATGTGGTAGTTCTTAGAGTTATCATCACTCTTACTATTCTCTGGATTCTACCTAGTTGTCCTCAAGTATYTTTGCAGGTGCATGTGCAGCTCATGCCGGGCTGGGGTGAAATCTCCTGGTAAGAGGAGCAGTGATGCAGGCAGAGCACAGTGGAGACATCCAGAAAGAGGCTGGGTCCTGAGTGTTCTGGTCTCAAACACGACCTTTCTCTTGTGTCAGTATTGCCAGCAACCTGCTAAAGACAAAAAAAAAAAAAAACTTCAGTTTTTACAGTTAACCTACTCGTTCACAGATAGGTCTGGAGGGAAGACAGGGCGCTTCATTTCTATCTCAATGTGCTTCTCCAGGTTGTTAATGGGTTTTACCTCCATTCATTGTGAATGTGACTTTTTGTCTTGCAATGGTAGCTTTAGTCTCTTGCAGTAAGGAATGCTCCCATTTTTCCCCATCTATCATCTAATTATACCCATTTATAGCTCTTTGTATTTGGCCTATGAAGTGTTCAGGACGTGGGTTGTCTTTTTCTTKTTTTGTGTGTTTTCTGTGTTTTGTTGAATTGGGGTTGCAAGTGTATTAGAAATAGCTATTATTAGGTAAAATATGTGCCCTTACAGACATTCTGAAAAGAAAAAAGCATCACTTAATAAAGGTTTGTTAATAATAAGTAGAGTGGGTGGTTCTTTTATAATCTGAAATTTCAGAAGGAGGAGGAAAAGAAAACTGTGGGAGAGAAGCTCCAGCAGGGGAGAGAAGGAGGTGGGAATTCAAGACATTTTTTTTATTTCCTAAGGAAAGGGGTTTGRACTTGGTGGTTGCAAGAGAAGGGTTCAGTGTTCTTTGCAAAATCTAAGAATGGCCCTGAAATGTTGCAGTTGAGGCAATCTAAGGACCAATTACCACTGGGAAGAAAAAAACATGTTCATACTTTCCTTTATTCTTCATGGATGCAGGATTTGGTGTTTGTGTGATCCCACAGTGAATCAATCTGAGGAGATAAATTGACRAGAAATGGTCAAAAAGAGCAGGCTTTGCTGGCTTAGCTGCCCAGCATAACACACAACAGGACCAGGCAAAGCTCGTAAGGGTGTATGGATGGTGGTGAGGGAAGGGAAAGCACTTCCCAATAGATTGTCTAGGATGTAGCCTGGAACTGCAGCTGAAGACATCAAATGAGAGATGCAGCTGTGTCTAACAGCTTTTATGAAGTGCCAAACAAGGATGTTCTCCTGTGAGTGGTTAAATTGATGAATACGCAGTGGCTCCCCAAGGCTACAGCTGGAAAATAAACCTTCTAGACGGTTGTGAAACTGATATCTTTGTAATTAAGTTACTGTGTGCAGTACAGTGGGCCCATTTAGATAAAGAATGGGCAGGTGCATTGCTGATCCAAGTGTTTCAACCTTGTCCAAGAATCACAGAGACAGGACTACTGGGTTGCTTTTGAAGTGCTGAAACAATAAATGGGAACAGAGATCTACCCACAGCCTGATAGTGTAATGAAGGGTCCCTTCTATTCAGGTGRTGTTAGTGGCTTTTGAAAGCAGTTGATAGTTGCTGGTGTTATTAATGACCTAATTKTAATTTAGGCAGGGCTATTCTGCAGCATGAAACAGATGTTCCTGGTGTTTCTGATGCATGAATTTTTAATTTTCTGAATTATGAACCACATAGCCGAGAAATTAGGTCCTTTAATATAATACTAAGCATGCTGTCAGCACTGAAAAGGACTTTAATACCTTTTTTGACAAGGGGCTTCAAAAACTGCCTTCAGCAGATTTTAATTAAAAGGCAGGAGAAATAAAGCCAATGCTTCCAAAATCTCAAAATTGGATTTAAAAGATGGTTTCTCTCATTCTTTTTCTAGTGTATACAAATCCAAGTCTACTGCAGCAAACCTCGAGCAGACCTCAGCACATCCTATTGGTCCTGACTACAGCAGGCTAAGGAGTGGATCGAGGCAGAGGTAGGAACTGGACATCTCATAGCTCAGAGATGCCTTCACTTCCCAAGCCCACGGCCTCTTGGAGCTGTAGAGCAAGAGGGCCATGCTGTGCCGCGCAGGGAAGCGGGGTCAGCTCGCTGAAGGTGCCCCTTTGCCTTGGTTGCCAGGGCAGGATGTCGGAGCTGAGCGATGAAGCCAGCGAGTCGGAGCTGCTGAGCCGCAGCCTCTCCATGTGGCACGGGGCCGGCCAGATGATCTGCCGGGAGGARCTGGACGTTCCCTTGGACTTGCACACGGCCGCCTCCGTCGGCCAATATGAAGTGGTGCAGGAGTGTATTCAATGGTAAGGCTGAATGGTAATGGTATTCCTTGGTAAGGGGCCAAGAGGGTACAGGTCTGTTGTTGCTTAATTCCCATTAGGATGGGTTTTTTTTGCTGGCTGTCATACAGGTCTGCCTAATGCTGACATAAGGGACATCACTGGAACTTCTGCAGTGTTTTTAGGCCCAGAGTTGGGAGGGACAGGTCTTCTGGTGGCAAACTACTGCCTCATTATATGGAAATTGTTCTACAGCTGATAACTCATGTGGACAAAGCTTTGGTGTTAGTTTGGTGTTAGAATTTTATTTTTTCATCACCTTCTTTCAGTGCAGTGATGGTTATGAAAAGGCTRCCTACTGTGACCTACAGCTCTAGGCCAGTGGTTCAGCAGAATTCTTTTCTCTGTTATTTAGTGGAGATCTGGATTTAAATAAGAGGAATTGTGGTGGCTGGACTCCACTGATGTATGCCTCCTACATTGGTCATGACACCATCGTTCATCTGCTGCTGGAAGCAGGAGTGAATGTGAACATCCCAACACCAGAAGGACAGACACCGCTCATGCTGGCCTCCAGCTGTGGAAATGAAAGTGTTGCATATTTCCTTCTCCAGGTGYGTATCCAGTAATAAATAGGTAAAACCACTGCTGCGTGGTTTATGTCTCCAAAGAGAAGGCTTCTCCTTTAGTTGTGCAGTCTTTGCTCCGTTGTGAGTTCARCTTCCTGACAGGGGTTTAAACTTTCTTGGCCTCCCAGCAGAGGGGCAGTGGCTAACAGACCCGGCAGAGGGGATGCAGTAAAGAACATTCTCTGTTCTCTTGAAGCAAGGCGCAGAGCTGGAGATGAAGGATATTCATGGCTGGACAGCCTTATTTCACTGTACCAGTGCTGGACATCAGCAGATGGTGAAATTCTTACTGGACAATGGTGCAAATGCCAACTGCAAGTAAGAAAGAAATCGTTTCTCAAAAGATGTCTCTAATATTCCAGGTAGGAATCACTTTTTTGATTCCAGCCTATGTGGATGTGTTCTTCCCCTCTCTGTAGGGAGCCTCTGTATGGATATACTCCTCTGATGGAAGCAGCTGCTTCTGGCCATGAGATAATTGCTCAGTACCTTCTCAATCATGTAAGTGTCTGGTTTCTGTAAAGCTGAAAATCTGTGGTTCCATACCTCACAGACCTGGGTGTTTAACACCAGACTACTTAATTATGTTTGGTTCTTGATGACTCGCCTCTGAAGACCCAGCCATCCAGAACTTTTCTGGAAGTATGTTTTTAGAATGCTAGTGCTCTGAGTCTTCACTAGCTTTGAATGAATAGGATTGAGATCCACTTGTCTGAATTTTACCAAATACTGACTAAATAGGTAAGCAATTAACACAGTTGCCCCAGTGTTAATGTTTGCATGTTTCTACATTCCAGATRGTGAGTATTTTTTGACAGTCTCCTAAAGCTTGTGAAGTTTATCTCTTGATACACAGTGTCTTTTTGATATCCTGCTTAATTGGTCCAGTTTGCTTCCAGAAGGAAGCAGCAATGCGAAAACATATTTTGGATAAAACAGACTAGTTTCTAGGGGCAGTGCACAAGAGCAGAATACCTGGTTCAATCAGCYTTTGGGAATTAGAATAAACAGACAAAAATGGATAATTAGTGGAGTTTGAACTACATCCAAGGTCAGCCTGTATTTCTAAGGGGTTTGGAGGAAATAGGACTTTTTGGCTCCCTTTAGTTTCTTRTATAATTGCCTTTGCTATAACAGCGATAAACATGTTTCTCTTCTTGTAGGGTGTAAGGGCTGATGTGAGAGATAACACTGGAGCTACAGCACGGACACTGGCCATGAAGTATGGACATATGAAGATCGTGGGGTTAATAGACTTACATACTGCTCCCGTGCCCAAGGTCTTCTGCAGGGGTCCAGGTAACGGGAATATTTTGACTCGTCTCTCCTCAGGCTCTATTTAAAAATGATTGTTTGTTGTTTTGAAAGCATGTAGTTATTTGTGTAGGAGTACTCTTGGCCATCTGGAGTACTGGCTATTTCTACCAGTTTTGCATCATCAATAACCCTGTGGAGAGTGTGCTCTATGCCCTCCTCCAGGTCACTGAGGATTAAGTTGGACAGGATCAGAGACTGGACTGCGCCTCTATCTAAAAGCCTCCAACCAGGCTTTGTGCTGCTCATCCCAACCCTCTGAGCTCTACCATTCAGTCACTTTTCAATACACCTCACTGTGCTGTTATCTAACACACTTTATCAGCTCCTCTGTGAGGATGTTGTGAGAGACCTTGTCAAAAGTCTTCCTGAAATCGAGGTAGACTCGTGCACTGCTCTGCCCTTGTCTTTCCAGCCAGGCATCCCATTGTGGAAGGCTCTCAACATGCTGGTTMAGTGYRATTTCCCCTGTAGTAGTTCCCTGGGACCTCCTTCTTTCCCTTTTGAAGACTAGAGTGACAAGAGTGACTGAAGTCTGGAAGAGATGTGGATCCAGCAGTTTTGGTGTGCTACCATGCTACCACCTTCTCTCATAATTAACTTTTTTTTTCCAGGAGCAGTAGCGGATAAAGCAACACACTGCTAACAGCCTTTGTTTCAACCACAGGAAAATATGAAGATTTGAGCTCTTCAGATGAGTCATGTTCTGCCCCTCAGAGACAGAGACCTGTTCGTAGGAGCAAGGGTCCCAGCATTCATGAAGGGCCACAGGCTTTGGCTAAGATAACAGCGGTTGGAATTGGGGGAAAGAAGCAGTCCCGCTATGGTGAGAAAAAATAAAAATTAAACATTTTTTTGGTATTGTAAGCACTTTGAAACTTTCTTTGCTTAAAGAAAAAGACAAGCCCTGAWAAGATAAGCCCTGAAAAAAAAAAACCAAGTACTGATAGCTTCTGAAATTGCAGCAGGATACTGCGAGTTTATTAACACAGGTGCAGGAAGTTTAGTCTTGCAGGATGTGCTTGGTTTGGTGAGGAGCAGAGACGCAGGCTGCGCTTTGTTCTGTTTCAGTAGTTTTCTCCCAGACTCTCAAGGAGGAAAGAGGGGAGGAGATGCTGAAAACCTTAAGTAAGGTGCATCTCTGCTACAAGGTTGGTGCACTGTCCAGATAAAGTGCTTCTGATGTGTTTTTGTGTGAGGGAACTTTCAGGCGTGTGCATTTCTCAATTTTTGTGTGCTGTCTAAGCAGAACCTGCCAATTCAAAATACAGTCCCTTCTTTGGACCAGCCGCCCTGAGTGGTTACTGGTCATTGCCCTTCCTCTTGCTAGAGCCTTTTTGATCATTCCCATCTGAATTTATTTGCTTGTTCTCCCCTTTTCTTGCACACAGAGCAGGTCTCTCTTCAGGGCTATGTTACTTTCAATGATGATGGCAGCTGCGGAGCAGATGATATCCGGAATCGGGATGTTACCTCTCCGATCAATGAGCAGGATGTGGAGAGCAGCAGCAGCAGGGGTAGGTCACTGTCTCAGAACCTGACCTCAGTGCGTGCCTGGGTGTGGGATGTGCCCCAGCCTGTGTGCAGACCTTTGGCTTCTGTGCTGCTTAGCCTTGTTAGGCAGCAATGATCACACTGTTGTACCTGTGACTAAAACGGTGGGTGATGCTGACCCTGCCCTCCAAGCAGCGAGTTTGGTGCCTGAATGGAAGGAGCAGGAGAAGGAGGGATCTGTGGGCATTGAATTTAGCAAAATAAAATGTAASTTTGGCACAGTGCTCAAAATGAAGACCTTTCCTGGATTTTAGTATAGGGAGACTGGCTTGGTTGTTAAAATCCCCTTTTCACCCTGCTACCAAGAACTTCACTGATGTACATATCTGTCAGCCTGCTCTCTGTGATACCAAACAGACTTGGAGAAAGCTAGCGCCTGGGATCAGACATGAAGCTTTGCCCTGGGTTTCTTCATTCTTTAGAACTCCCAGGAGTGTTTTTTGGTTTTGTTTTTCTGATGAGCTGTGTGACAAAGTCAAAGCATAAGGAAACTGATCCTTGGTTTCTCTCTTGTTCCTTCTCCTTTCCAGAGGGGAATGTTTTCTGCACCAACAACTTGACAGCCATCAGGAGCAGCAGCAGCAGCAGCGAATGTCTGCCCAAAGCCCTGGGGGTCAGCAGTGAAGGCTCGCTGGAGAGCAATGAGGTGAGGATGTCCATTTTCCTTGGTCTTCACCTTGTCAGATGCTGTCACTCTTCTGCAAACTACTATGACCCTCTCTCCACAGGAGGCTGTAGTAGCAGGCTAGGTGAAGGAAGGCAGTACTGCAGAGTCGAGAATCTGTTTCCATTTGTGAACACTGCAAATTGGCTGCTAGCCTAGGAGACTAAACAATCCAGCTCTTAGCATGTGGTCACTCTAGAATAGGTCCTTGATAGCTAGTCATTAACTCTTAAATACTGTTTTCCCCAGCTTTGGAGCTCTTSCTCAGATGTCATATAGCTAGCAGCCTAGAAGGGATATTCTGTGGTGCAGCTTGGACCAGCTCATTAGCTGGCCATGATGACAGAATGTCATAAAGTTTAAAGTACAGCAGTGCCACCCTGACATGTCTGAAGCATTAATGGAGGAAGRCACAGGAGGTTTTTCAGTGATTAAAGTTACAGCTCGTGTTTTGAAGTCGTCTCTGCATTTGTGTTGGGCGTGTATACAGAGAAGGGTCACGTAGCTGGGCAAGAACATGAGTTTCTTGAGGTGCTTTTTGCAGAAGAAAATATGCTGCATTGTATTGCTTCAGGGTATTTCTGTGTGCTTCAGTGGGCTGCTCCCAAGATCGGGGTGGCACCTTGCACTAGACTAGTTGCTCTCTGGCTGCAGCTTTGGAGCTRTTTGACTCATCACTTTCTGGCAGAGGATTTGCTAGTCTTCAAAGTGTGCGTTTGTGGGCCACTGCCTGAGTTCAGCAACTGGGAATTAAATGACCCTGCACTTTCTCTCCTTTTTTTCACTGTTTTCTACATATAGTGATCCTGGCCTGGCGTCTCTATGCCGTTCACCTTTACGTATCCTGGGATGAATCTTCTTTTTTCAGGACTCTGACCATGCCAATAGTCCTCCTAGTTGGAAACAGGCCAAAAGCTTTAAGAACAAGAACCGCTACAGCAACAGTGATAGCCAGTGGACACACTGCCCTGGGAAACCTGGGAGCTCTAGTCAGCATCTCGTCCTTCCTGAGCCCCCTGTCTACACAGGACCCCAGGTAATTWAAAACAGAAAACGTCCTCTCAAGTAATGCAGACATTGCCACTGTATTGAGTTTTGGAGATTTTTTTCCTGAGGATTTCCAAGCTTTGTTCTTGGCTTTATCACATAAAAAGGAATTYCACCCAAATATCTTTTATGCCAAACCTCTGCCTCGGTTCAGATGCTTGTGGAATAGCAACTTCTTCTACAAAGTGCAGCTTGTTCTAAGTGTTTTGTTGCGCTGAAGGTTATTTCAGATCCTTTAGGTCTGTGAACATACTAGCAAATGTGGCTGTGGTGGGGGCTAGGGGACGTGTTGGTGTCTGTCTACGTTGCATTATATGCAAAATGCAATAACTCCAGCCTCTAGGCCAGTCCTGTTGCTCTGTGCGAGTCCAGAGAAATGCAGCTACGTATTGTTACAGAATGAAAAGAAATAGCTATTGCTCTATATAGCAATATTATATTATTAATATATATTGCAATGATTATACCATATTGCTAGGAAAGCATAACAGCAACATGAAGAGGCATGTGCTTATATTGAACAAGGAATGTGGCCCTCTTGTTTATGAGAGTATAAATAAGTTTGTTTTGGATGGGCTGCAGGACCTGGCAACGTTCCTTGAGCAGATTGGGTGCCTGAAGTATCTGCAGGTGTTCGAGGAGCAAGATGTTGACCTTCGAATCTTCCTGACCCTCACAGAGAGCGATCTGAAGGAAATAGGCATCACGTGAGTAACTAATTCTCACATTTCCATTTACTATTTTCATAACCTCTGCCTTGGAAACAGTGTACACAGTCTGAATAGGAAAGATGACCTGCTGAGCCCTCTTCTGTCCTGTCCCTCTCTCCCACACAACATTAACTTGTTGGTTGTTGGTACTGTTGGCAGTCTCTTGGAGCCAGTAGATTGCAGAGCTCCTCAGGTCATCCTCTTGGGCCAGGGGTCAAATGGTAAAGTGTTGTCCCTCATTTCCGTAGCTTGTTTGGACCCAAGAGGAAGATGACCTCTGCCATTGCCCGCTGGCACAGCAACGCTCGGCCGCCCAGCGATGCCCTGGAGCTGGCCTACGCGGACCGGCTGGAGGCCGAGATGCAGGAACTGGCCATTCAACTGCACAAGGTGGGAAGTCCTTCCATGAGCTGTTCAATGGCTGATCACGTTGCAGGAAGTGATTAGCAACCCAGTTATGTGTCTGGGAGCGAGCGTGTAAGAGGGTGATATACAGCACTGCCACCTATTCCCTGTTCTGTGCTGCTGCAGAGGTGTGAAGAGGTGGAGGTGATGAAGGGCCAGGTGTGCCAGGAGCAGAAGCTGCGAGCRGTGGCCGAGAGCTGTTTGATGGAGCGAGATGAGACCTTGAATGATGTCCAGTGCCATCTCAGAGAGGCTCAAGCTATCACCAAGAATGCCGGGGTCCTACTGGATCAAATCAAGTAAGTCGTTACCAGAAAATAGCACTGTGGCTACTGGCAACTGGGCATATGGGCTGTGCAGAGATTAGGGGTGATATTGGCACTCCTACAGATGACTCCTTGTAAGGCAGGAGAGCTTACTAGGCATCTGAACCCATTCCAAATTCTCCTGACAGTCTCCATTGACTAGCCAGAGCTACCTGAGCAGATGTGAAGCTTACATCTAATGCGTGAGATTAAACAAAGGGCCTGTTTTCCAAAGGCAATTGCACCCTGTTTCAGTTGGAAGGTTATGGCACTCGGCCCTTTTGGAGCTAAGGGGCGAAGTGCTTTGTCCATGGAACTTAGGGACCTGCCTCAGGGTGTGTCTTGATGCTCAGRTAGAGGCAGGACTGATTCTTTAATTTCCAGATAGTCTAGATGGAAGGGCTAGCATGGTCTTGCCCTGCCTGGTGAAGGGCTCTTTGTTATCACCTCTAATAGCACCAAACAGGAAAACTTGCCTTATTCATGCCCACAATTGCCTTAAAGTTGTCTCTTACACCCCTTAAATTGTTAGTTATTGCACCTGTGGCCTCTTTGTCCCTGCCCCAGTTGGATAACCTTTCTGCCTTGGGCCCCTTTCTGTCTAGTTACGTGGCTGATGTGTCCATGAAGTTGGCACTAGTCCTACTGCTCTAGTTCCTGGCCCAGTAGAAGGATGTAGTTTGTTCCCTTCTGAACAAGGGTAAACTGAGATTGCCTTGCAAGAGGACAGCCAAGTCATCTTCCCACTGCAAGGTGTCAAGCACTGTTCTCTTCCTTCTGACTGAAGTTCAGGCTGCCTGATAGAAAAACCCTGTGATGCTCTGAGGCTCTAATGATGTGATTTTGGACAATTTTATCTCTGGCCCTTTCCATTAACCTGATGCCTATCCTGGGCTGGCTTTACTTAGCCCATTAGAAACCTTGGATCAGGCTTGATGCTCATGCAAAGAGMGTATAGTCCCTGGCTTAGGCTTTCTCCTGCTCAACCTGCCCCCTCCTTCTCTTCTCACCCCRCAGCTCCTCTGTGGACAGGGGCAGAGATTGCTGTGGAGAAGGGGCACAGTGGAGAGCGCCCTGAGCTTTGTCTGGGGCACGTCTTCCTCTTCCTTGGAAGGAACAAGGAGCAGTTTGTAACCCAGGGCGTTAGATGCGGTCCCTCGGCACCCCAAGCAGGTACTCGCAGGATGTAGGAGGGCAGAGACTGGCATGTTGTTTTTAGAAGCACCCCTGTGCATTTCTAATGGCTTTTGTCTTGTTTGGCAGGTGCTGCCAGGCAGAGCTGTCCTCCCGACTGACCCAGGAGCAGGCACTTGGAGTGCTAGACACAAAGGGGCAGCTGGGCACCAGTGAGAGCAGGCGACGTGGTGAGAGTCRAGCGCTGCATCTGGGGAAGGAAGAGCCYGTCGGGCTACAGGAAAGGGCGCAGGGCTTGAGTAAAGAACAGGAAGGGCCAGAGCAGGCACRTGCTCGTGCTGCTTGGGGATCGAGTTAGAAATGATGTGGTAATGSTTGAAATGCCAAACCCTCAAACTTAATGTGAAAGGTCTTAATCAATGAAAGCATCTAAAGCATCCAGGGCCTTTGAACTTTCACTGCAGCAGAGGTCCTCTGGAGCTTTTTCCTGAGTAAGTGCTTGGGTCTGGCAGACATCTGTCTAAGAATGCAAGGCTATAGTACAGACACTCAATTACAGTCCTGTTCGTGCACCCGTGACTTCCCCTTGCTRTGCAGCACCTGGGCTCCTCAGATGTGTTATCACATTGTGCTCTAGAGCTAAGTTGGACTTAAAAGTTCCTATTGGTTTCTTGACTGAGTCTGAGAAACTACCCTGACTTGACCAGGAAGAGAGAGGGAAGAAAAAATCCAAATACATGAGCTTAGTTATTTTAAATGATGGCATTGGGAGGGGAAGAAAATAAAAATGCTCTTAATACAGGTGATTTGAGTTCTTTCAACATGCAATACAGAACTTTGTATAGAGCCACTTTGGGTTCAGGCACTGTCAGAGTTGTTGCCAGACCCTTGTTTCCACTGTGTYACAGAGAACAACATACAGACTTATATGTCGTTTCCCTTTTTTGAAGGTGTGAAGGAATGGCCGCCTTCCTTGAAGTCTCTGAGCTTGCCTGAGCTCTCAGCTGTCCTAGAGGACTGTGTGGGAGAAATGGGTAAGGTCATGGTTGAAATGACAGGCCCCTGATGGCAGGGGTGGGTTGAAGGCACCTAATCATCCTCAGTCATGTTTAGGGAAGCCTTCAAGCGCTGAAGGCAGTGCCAAYGTTTCCTTGCGTTTCTCCTCTGCTGCTAGAGTAGATCCTGCTGTTTTTCTGCAGGACAAATTCATAGGAAGTATTTTTCTATTCTGCAGTTTTCTTCCTGCTGTTTGTGTTGTGGAATTTCTGGCTCTCCTGCAGAGGTGTGAATGCTGTCCTGTGCTTTACCTCCATGCAGTGTTTCCTGGATCACAATATGCTCTGCCAGTCCAGCTAACTAGCATCTCTTCCCAGGCACTATTGTCTCTGTCATCCCAGCAGTCTGAACTCTGGTGGTACTAAAGCACTTTGACTCCCGTGGCTCCAGTTCTTTGCAGACATACCCTGTGTCTGCAGGCTCCCAGCATGATGATTGCAGGACTCTTACAACATTCTCTCCCCCAAGAGCTTCTARGTGCTGGGAATGCTGTCGAGCGTAAAGCAGCTGATATCTAGACCTTGGATGGCTGCATCTATCTTGCTGAGGGATGAGTGTTAGCCAGGAGTGAGGATTTATTGCTACTTACCCTGAAAACAAGTGCAGGAGCACTGTACTGCCATGCTGTAGTGTCAGTGTAACTTGTTACAGCCTGTGGTTCGTGGTTATGGGCTTAAGCTGTAGCACCTGTGTGCAAAGGAGAGCTGTTTCCTGTGCTGAGCAGCAGAGGAGATGGGAACATGGGCCCTGGTGCTCAACAGCTCTGGAACCCTAATCCCTTCCCTGCTTCTAAGCCGGGAACATACAGTTACCCATACAGTGAGCAGGCATCTTCCTCACTGCAAAGCTTGGGCTCTGCCTTGTCCTCTGACAGAACCAGGTGAAGAGAAGGGGATGTGTGGCCCCACCTAGCCCAGCTCCCATCCTGTCCCCCAGCTCAGTTAAGAGTAGCTTGTGAGGTGGCTTCCAATGGCTGTGCCCAGTTCTCATGGCAGGAGCTTGTCCCAGCTCCTGCCTCTGGCAGCCAAAGAGGTTGTTGCTTAAGGAGTGCTGGAGGCTGCATGGATGAGGGCAGTGTGGGAGGCAAGAGCAGCAACAATTCAGCCTGCGACCTGTTCTTTTGCTGTGTGTTGACCTGGTGATGCTGATGTTGTGTTTTTCTTTTGGTTCATTCTCAGGAAAAGCTCTGCAGACTGTGACTCAAAACTTGCAAAGGCTTCAAGCCCCAGGAAAGAGCGGGCAGAGCTGGCTGGAGCCATAACAAAACAGGACGGTGAGTAGAAGTATGGAGAGCTGTGCAATAGAGAGGGGCTTGCAGCAGGAACAGCCARCTGCTCTGTGCCCTGGGCTCAGTCGTAGCCTGCACAGCTGAGGCTCCACTTTAACTAACCCTGAGCATGTGCCCTTTGACTGACTTTCTCTTTGGAAAATTCCTCATTCCCTTGTTCGCCACCTCACTGAAAGGACGACTGTCTTGTGTTTCCTGATGGCTGCAGGAATACTGACGTCGGGTGACTGTTCCACCCGGAAGCTAAGTGTGCCTGGGAGAAGGAGCGCGAGGGCTGCGCTGGCAGAACCGCAGCGCGGCCGCGAGCGCTGCCGCGGCTTGCAGAGAAGTGGAAGAAGGTCTCGGCCATTGGAGAACGAGTCTGGGAGAACAAGGGACAGCAGAGACGAGCACTAGACAGCTCTATGGGTCTCAGTGTTGCCTGGGTTCACAGGACCGTGTTGTTCRTATCAAAAGGTTAAGTTAAGAGAAGAAACACTGACTTAGAGAAGTTTATCTACCTGTAAGCTTCCTGCAGCCTTCCACACTAAGGGCTGTGTGGTGTTAGAAAACTCACTGCAGCTGTGGGTCACCTTTCTGTGCTTCCTGTCCTTCCAAAGAYACTGCTGCAGCCCCTGCTGTGACACATCAATTGGTAGTTGTGCAGAAACTGACTGCAACGTTTGCCTTAAGCAATTAGGAGGACAGGCTTTTGGAGAGGGGCAGAGGAGAGAGAGAGTGTCTGTCAGCTCACTGAGCTGCAGTTGTTGTAGCCCTGCTYGAGCTGGCATGTCTTCCCTTTTTGCCATCCCACATCTGGCCTTCAAAACTTCTCTCTTATCAGCCCACTCTGCTTCAGTCTGGGTTCTTACCCCATTCAGGAGTGAGTTTGTGATTATGCTCTTCAGCCCCAAAGGGCTTTTTCTTTTAAATGCCTAAACTTACAGATCCTGGTAGTCAAATTTCAGTGCTAGGCTTCCCAGCACTGAGCAGTTGCAAGAAACATGTCCCTGGAAGGATATGAGAGAAAAGRAAAAACTGGAGACTGCACAGTCTCCTGTGCCTCTGGCAGCTAGCAGAGTGCCAAAGCAGATGGAAGGAAGGATAGASGTCTCTTCCCTGTGGAAGATGGGTTAAAAAAAGGAAAAAAAGAAATCATGTCCCAGATCTAGCTGCAGTGCAAAGCTCCAGTCCTCAGCTACTGCTTTCCCTTCAATTCCGAGCTAGGGTGTTTGGAAACAGATCTGCCAAGGCATTCTTGCACCAGCAGTTCAAGTGTTCTCAGTGCAGGAGAGGCTGACTCCCAGAGAGACACACCATCTCTTGGAGGTGTAAGCAGCCCTATGGGCACCACTGACAGCTGGGTCTCTGGGACTAAGTGTGGTTTTTAGGAAAAAGGCCAGCTTTTTCTTCCCAGGGCGGGGTGACTTCTGATATGTTTGGTGTTGATCCCATAGCAGCACCCCCAAATACATATGCTGCCAGGGGCTGCTGGAGCTTGCAGCAGCCAGCAAGGAGCAGAGGAGTGACCAGAGAGGGACCAGCTCCTGTCCAGGGCCTGCTGCTTGCCCCTGTGTTTGTAAGTGGCACAGCTGGACAGGYGATTTGGGTAGGTGTGTTTATTATTTATTACTATCATGAAACTGTTTTATCACTTACCTTCTTGTTGTATAAACTGAAATCTATTCATAAAGAGTAGAACTGTGTTATATATTGAGTCAGAGGCTCTGGATTTGTTTTTGATACCTTTGTAACTGGGACTGTGTGTGCTTATGGGACAAGGTGAATATTGGTGTTCCTGCATACACTGCTGCCATTAGCTCCCTGCCTGTTTCCCTCCCTCCGGGCAGACAGAAGTGGCATGCTCCATTTGCTGAAAAATAAACATTTATTTACATCTGAAAAGAGAGATAATGTGCAAAATGGTCTCAGAAGGGTTATATCTATCCAGGACAACTCCTGCATGATTTGTTCCCCAGTTTTGAACCCAGTTGCAACTGAGCTTGGCATGACCTTTCTCCTCCCTCTCCTCAAGGCAACCCTCCTTAAGACGCTGCACTTATGTGATGCTTTCCATGTGCCTGTAAGCCCAGGGGGCTGTTTGGGCAGCTTGCCTGGAGCTGGAGAACTACCTGTACCCAGTTCTGCAATGGAGACTCTCCTGCTGCATGTGTGGCCCTTGTTGCCAGGTCAAGTAAATGATGGACTTGCACTCTCAGCAGCACTGCTACTTGAGGTAAGAGCAAGGGCCTTGGARGTTGTTGCCCTGTGCTGTGCCCTTAGCTCTTAGGGGAGAGCACCAGAATCAGGCASCAGGGTAGCTCTGCCCTGTAGCAGCAGCCAGATGCAGGGGCCACCAGTGCTTGAAGTGCCCAGCTGCTTTGCTCGCTGGGAGAGGCATGGAGCAGCCCCGAGCCACGCTTGCAAGCAGCACTSCTGGCTCTTCCCATGTTAATGCTTCATGGGGAGATGTTGGATCCCTGTTGCAGCCTGGCAGCTGGGATGTGCCAAGCTGTGCCAAGGGCAGCATGTACAGGGCTTTCCCCTTAGGTTCTGCAGTGCACCCCTCTCTTGGGATCAGTGGATTTGCTGAGAAGAGCCAGGAAAGGAACAGATTCTAGGTTTTCTGGGTACAACAGGGCACTGGATAGGTGTGCAGCTAATGCTTTGGTGTCCTCCGAGAAAACAAGTATCTTAAAACATCTGTTGCACAGCTGTGACAAAGCGCCCAGTCTTTTGTCAGTGGAAACAGTTCCCAAGCCAAAGGTATTTCTTGTGCAGGACTTCATAGTTGTGGAAGGAAGAGGTGGTTAAGATGCTCAGCCAAGGATGTGCTGGCTCAAGGCTCAGCTCCCAGCTCTGCCTTAGGCTGGGAGCAGGGCATTAGCTCTGCTCCAGGCTGCTCTGGAGTCCTTGGCCCTCTGTTGTGCTGTCAAAGAGGAAGCGGTGCTGCCCTTGTCTACAGGGCTATGAGGAGGAAAACGAGGCACCCAAATGCTGCAGCTGCCTTTGTGCTCTCCTGCTCCCCTGCTTCTGCTCACTGCAAAGGGAGGCTCTGAGGTGGCTCTGCTGCAGAGGAGCTCAGAGAATGGAGAAAACTGGTGTTTGGTCTAGCTGGAGAGGCAAGAGGGAGGAGGAGGGAGGCAGGTGTTGTGGGAGGCTGTGTTCTGCCTCAGTTCTGAGGGTGGTGAGAAGGTGCAGAAGGCAGCACCTTCCTATGGCAGGAACTTTGCAGGAGGCTTTTCTCTAGAATAGACAGTTCATGGCACTAGCAATATGGTCTTAGCTTCAGGCAAGGAGAGCAGGAACGTGATGCCCTGGATCACAACATTGCTTGGCACAGCTCAGGACACTTCACCTCTCCAGCTCTGAAAGCAGTGGCAGCAGGAGATATTTGCTAATCAGAATGGTGCTGCAGATGCTGTGCAGGAATGTCAGGACCAAGCAGCACTGCAGTATCTCCCTGGTCCTACCCTCTGCTGCTGGCCAGGCTCCATCTCCTGCTGCTGTGACTCCATTGCTGCAGATGCCCAAGACATCAGTGTGGATGGGGCAGGGGCTCCTGTGTGCAGACCTGGCAGTGCCAACGGAGGTAGTTTGTGATGCTGTATGGTCAGGCAGTGTAGAAATGAGCAGGCTGACCTCCCTGTGTAGTTTACCTGCTCTGTGCTGAAGCCCAAGCAARGTGATTTTTTCTGAGGAGATGGCAGTGCCTTGTAAGAGCCAAGCGTGTCCATCTAGGTCCCGACTGCAGCCGAGGGAATCTCCTGCACTGCCCTTAACTGCAGTGCAGCTTTGGAAGCTGCTCCCAGCCCAGCCATTCCTGATAGGCGCTGCTRTGGCTTCCTTTAGGGCTTGTGCCCTGCTTCCAGGTCCCTGGCACAGCTGGGATGCAAGTTCCCCTGTGTGCCCTTCGGCAGACAGAGGTGCAGTACCAGAGCAAGCTCCAGGGCAACTCGTGCATTGGTGGTCATGACACTTGCAGCCCCTGTGTCCTCTCTGGGGCAGGTTGCCACAGCTGTGCTGCCATCACTGKGTACAGCAGAGTGCTGGGTGGTCGAGCTTCCACAGCTGCCACTTCTTCTTCATTTCTGACTTTACCTGGTAAGGAAACAAGATGCCCCAGCTAGTGCCCTGTCACTCTTTCCTCCCCGCTGCTAGAGGTGCAGGTAAGGYTAAAGTTGGAATCTTTAGGGACACTGGAGGTGTCCTGAGGCTGAGCTGAGCCTCCATACTCTAGAGGAGCATCTTCTCTCCCTACAAACCAGTTGGCACAAGCAACAAGTCTGCAAAGTCTGTGCCTGGCAGAACACAAACCTAGCTTGGTTCCTAGCACGAAATGTCAGTGAAGTCAAGGCTCAAGGAAATCAGCCATCTTGGAGGTGGCTGGCTTTTAGCGCCCTAAAATGGGGGCAAAATGAGTCATGCTTRGTACAGGGATGCAACCTCCAGAGCCAGGTGGGCTAAGCACAGGGCTAGGTCATCCTGCCTCACGTTAAGGGAAGAAAGAGCCATGAGGCCCTTGGTTCCGGACCCAGCCCAGGAGAGGCCAGGATGAGACCCTGGGTGCCTCCTGCTCCAGCTGTGTCATGCAGTTAGTGCCCAGCTGTAGGACAAGGGAAGCAGTGCAAACTCTAGGCAGATGTGGGTGGGTAGCAAAGCAAAGCTTGCAGAAGTTGCACATACCTCTTTATTGGCAAAACAATATAGCACTGCCACCAGGAAGCCCTGCAGAGAGAACAAGAGCTCAGAATGAGACTGACACCAGCATTAGCCTTTCCCTGGATGGTACCGTTAGGCCCTAGGAACTACTGTGTGTTTTGTCTCATGAGACAATTTTGGGGTGCAGCTCAGCCCTCCTTCCCTACCAACACCAGCCTGGGGCAGCAGACATTAGCTTCTCCATTGTCATCAAGCAAATGGTGACAGTAGCACGGGATTTTCTGCTGGCCATAGGGGTGTGGAAATAGTGCCCCCTCCCTCCCTGTTCTTAGTGCTCTGCTGTGGGCAGTGCATGGAAGGAGGGTCCCTCTGAAGTGACCGCATGAGGGTGAGACAGCCTTGGTGCAGGCATAGTCCTGACTCCCCAGGCCAGGAACACATGTCCCCAGCCAGGGGCAGTGGTTGGCACCACCAGGCTGGCAAGGGGCAGAGGAAAAGGGGCCTGTCCTYCCTGCATGGGCCCTGTGCTGCTGCACAGCCCTCCCTCTGGCCTCACCTGGAAGGAGTTGAGGAAGAGGGTGAAGAAGACCTTGATGTAGCGCAGGATGCCTGTGGTTTGCTCATCGGTGGCAAAGATGAAGACCACCTCGTGGATCCCAAAGAGGGGGATGAGGGTCAGCGTGGCTTTGGCCAACCTGAAAGAGCAGGAGAGRTCATCTAGAGCTGTGAGTACTAAACCATTTGGGCGTGCTTGCCAAGTGCACCTCAGAGCTGCGCTGARTTAATTAGCAGCCTGTTTGTTAATATCAGGATCATCATTTAATGATGTTGCAGGACTGAGAAACAGCACGCTGCCCTGGAGGAAAGGGAGAGGTGGAGGATGGCATGGCAGAGCGTGCAGCCCTCCTGGCTCACCGCAGCTTGTAGTCTGCGTAGCCCTTCTGGTTGGCACGGAGCTTGGCCAGAATCACCTTGAGGATCCGCATGAAGATCAGCAGGTTGATCTGGGGGGAGATGGTGCTAACCCRGGAGTGCCCTSGGTAGGGGCACCCACTGCCCAGCCYGGYGCCCKTGCAGGGGCTGTGGGCAGGRCAGCTGTGTCCCCAGCWGGGAAGGYGCCCGAGCCCCCTTACCAGGGATGCCAGAAGGATGGGGATGCGGATGATCCACCARTAGGCCATGTTCTCATTCAGCGCCCAGCACCTGGGCAAGGAGAGCAGCACCATGACTCCAGGCCATGGTGTTGGACAYGCCATGGCATCCTGGGTTCCTTGCCCCAAGCACCCAGCCCTGGAGCCCCGCATCCCTTCCCACTCACTCGGCATTTTCCTTCAGGTACTTGGCGGCCATCCAGGGCACCACGAACACCACGGGAGTGCCTGCAAGTCACACAGCAAAGCCCATGGAGACCCACCTGAGCTGAGCATGCAGCCTGCTGTCAAGAGCCAGCTCGGAGCCCAGCGCTGCCCGCGACACCCACCCCAGCCCAGGTAGAGGTAGAGCCGGTAGTAATTCCTCTCGGAGAAGACTGCGCCGATCAGCAGCTTGTACAGGTAGACAGCCTCRACCAGGAACCAGTAGTGGTTGGCCAGGATGCAGTACTGCATGAGCACCTGCGCCGCGCGGCAGCCGATGGCCGCCTGGGGAGAGCGCGACGCCCGTGAGGCGGCCATGGGGCGGCTGCCAGCCATGAGGTGACATGGCGGCCATGGGGCGACATGGCAGCTATGGCGCAGCCGCCGGCCCTCAGCTCCTGCTTGCCCGGCGCTGAGGGCCGACGGCACCGCGCACAGCCCGGCATGGCCCCCCTGTCCCCGCAGCCGCTGTGGCCCTTGCCTCRTTGCTCAGCAGGGCCTCCCAGTCAGCCACCCGCGCCACCTCCATGCCCCAGTGCCTCTCCAGCAGCGCGTCCTTGACGATCACGGAGGTGGCCCGCAGCCCGAAGGAGGCGAACAGGTTGGCGTGGATGTAGTTCCTGGTGCAGCGGAGCTTCCTGCAGATGGCAAAGGGGGCCAGGGGCCACAATGGCTGGGTGCCCACAGGGCCCCCCCCCAGCCCCTTCCCCGTGCTCCCCACCTGAAGATGGTGAGGACGAGCAGGGCAGAGACGAGGGTGAGCAGCGACAGYGAGTACCCCACCGTGTAGAGCACCTTGAAGCTCACCATGAGCCTGCGGGCGCCCTCCTGCACGCAAGCACAGCACCGGTGAGCCCGGCCTCCTCCGCGAGCATCCCCGTGCCCGCCAGCACGCCGCTCCGGCCGCTGCACGCCGCTCCGGCCGCTGCGCACCTCCTCCATGGTGGACTCCACCTCCTCCTCGCATTGCGAGTAGTCCCGCCAGGGCTGGCTGCCGTTCACCATCACCCACTGCCCGTCCGGCCCGCACTTGCGGCTCACCTGCCCGTGTTTCACTGCGGACACAAAGCGCGGCTGCGTCCCCTTCGCCCTGACACGGCCCTGCGCGGCCTTTCCCACGCAAGGATGGGGTCATGRTCTGCGCTCCTGGCCCCCGGGGGCAGCTTGGGCTTGTGCTGGGGCACGAGTTGGCCTGGCCTGGATGTCCCCTCCTAGCTACGTCTGCTTGGGACCCRCTTCCTCCCCCTTGCAGGTGAAGGGACCATTACCCTGCTGCTCATCAGGCTCCTGCTCAGCCCACCCTGGACCCCTGTTTCTCCTGTGGGTGCAGGATAGGAGGGAGTTGTCACCTTTCTCAAACCAGGGCAGGTAGAAAGGGCAGGAGACGTTGACGGCGGTGCCGGGGCTCCCGTCCGGCCAGCAGGCATACATGTCAAACGTGCGGTTGCAGAAAAGCCCTGCCCAGAGCAGAGACAAAACTCAGAGCCCCAGAAAAGCTGCCAGTCTCATGCGCACAGCCCAGCCCATGGGCAGCACCCGAGCCATCCCTGGCTGTGGTAGTGGATGTGCTCTGGAGGAGCAGGAAAAGGGCCCCTCTGTTCCCAGGAGAGGCAACGGTGCTCTCCCTCGCAGGATGGAGCAGGAGGCACTTGCTGCCTTCCACAGGGCTGCCGAGGCTCTGTCCGGTGCTGACCTCAGCTCCCAGGACTAGGATGGTCTGTGTGGGCCAGCGTAGCTCTACTTRGGACMTGAGGTATGACCAGGGACCCACAGMGCCTTAGCTCACAGCCCAGACCTCTGCTCCTCAGTTACCTGCAGCACGAGGCCTGGGGAAGGGTTTGCTCTGCTAAGCTTGGTGGCTGCAGTATCCACAGACAGAGATCCCTGGCACAGTAGGGCCCAGGTCTCTATCYTCCACCTCCTGCYACASCACARCCAGGGAGCTGCCTCTGGGAGCCCTACCTGTGGGGTAGGGCTCGCTCGCCATCCTCCTCAGGCACTCGTCACGGTACYTCATCCACTCCTCAAAGGTCCTTTCCAGCACCTTGGCTCCACTGTGCTGCAAGCACAAACCTGGAGTTAGTGCTCCTGCCTGCCCGTGCCTGTGTCCCCTGCACTGCCTGTGCCCACAGCAAGACTGTGCTCACTGCCCAGGGCCCCACGGAGCRCCCAGCCACCTGCCCAGCACTGCGTGGTGGCCCCAGGGGACAGCACAACCTGTAGAGCCAAGGGGCTCAGCCCTGGGTCACTTCCAACCACCGGTGCGACCACTAGCTAAGGCTGCTGCAGGCTGGCTGCCCTGGGGCCAGGCAGGGAAGGACGGCAACACAGGCACAGGGGACAAGGGCAGGAGCAGGCAGCGAGCAGAGCCCTGCTGCCCGCACGCTGGCCCCAGCCCTGCTCCCTTACCGGCACGGAGGAGACCAGGCACATCCAGGCGAGATGGACAAGCCTCCGTCGGGAGCCCGAGAGAGGCGCATCCCTCATGGCTGTCCCCACCAGCCCGCAGCGGCTGCTCCCAGCACCACAGTGTGCGTGCGAGCTGAACCAGGGACCTGGTCCTGAGCGAGAGACACAAGGGCAGTGGTTTGAGCCCTGCTGAGCGGGGCCAAGGGAGCTGTGCTCCCAAAGGCAGAGGAGGAGTCCCCCTGCAGTGCTGCGGTGCAAAGCCGCATGAAGCATGTGCTGGTCAGGACCTTCCCTGACTGTGGTGGAGCTCCTGTGTAAGGAGGGGACTTGGACAAATTGCATCTCTTRTCCTGAGATAGTCACAGGACAGTTTTGGGGCTGGTTGAGGCAGTCCTRGATGCAATGGCATGGGGACCTTCTGTGCCCAGACTTGGGGGAACCAGAAGGGCGAAGCCTGGGGCGCAGAGAAGCACAGGGCACTCGCACCTCGGGATGGGTGGGCAGTGCAGGAAGGACCCGGACTTTGGAAGGACCCAGCACAACCAGCCCCATGGGCCTCCTGCCCTGGGCACCAGCAGCACTGTGCCCAGCATCACCTCGCTGTCCCACCACCCGCCAGTGCTGCCTACGGGTGCAGGCTGCCATCCTGYGGCACTCGCGGAGCAGGATGTGCATGGGGACTGCTTGGGGACCACATTGGTGCCACCCYGTCCTTCAGTGTGCTCTCCTGCCCCCGGCCGCACAGCCGGGCTGTGTCGCACGCTGTCCCGCAGCAAGGTGGGCCCATGCCACGGACATGCGCTGGCCTGATGTGACCACGGGGTTGTTCCTGTGCCCAGGACCCCAGGCAAAGCAGCCCAGGGGCAGCCRCAATCGTATTGTGCCTCTTGGCTGRGCACCGCCTGCTTCTGCTCTGCCTTCAGCAGCCCCCGAGGCAGCCGGCAAGCGAGTGAGGGGGACACAGCATCGCAGAGGGGGCAAAGATCATCTCTAACACAGACACACGGCCCTCGTACGCGGAGGTGCTGAGCAGCGGCGGGCGCAGCAGCCCCGCTGCGGGTGCCAGCGCGAGTCCTGCTCCCCTGCTCGGAAGGCACGAGGAGGAGGAAGGGAAGCCCAGGCAAGGCGGGTCRGAGCCGCACGCAGGGAGCGGGGCTCGGGGCTCAGCACAGCCCGTGCGGGGAGCCCCGACCCCCGCAAGGAGCAGCCACCCCTGTGGCCACGTGTCGGGGCTCTCTCCGAGCCAGGGGCTGCCTCAGGCCAGCGCTGTGGTGGCCTCGGCCCCAGGGGAGGGCAAGGAGACCGCTCGCTGTGGCCCTGGTGGGCCCTGTGGTGTCGCTCCCACCCATCTCCCCGCATCTCCCACGCTGCAGCGGGGAAATGGCTCCGGCGACGGGAGCCCCGAGGCGGCGGGGCCGTCGCTTCCAGCCCCCGCGCCGGGCTGGGGAGCAGCGCTGGGTCCCGGCACGCGGGGACACCCTCCGTCCTGGCGGCCTCCGCGGGCTGCACTTGCKGCAGGGGACACCGGCCGGCGGGAACTGCTGGGACCTCCCATGGAGAACTCGGGGCCACGTCCTGCGCGGAAGCCCCGGCCGAGTCCCCGGGGCTCCCTGTCTGCCCGGGGCTCCCCTTCCCGCGGGCGCCACCGCCCGTCCCGGCTCCCGGACCGCCCCGTCCCGCGTGGGCAGCGCCCGCCGGGGCTCCCGCCGCGCCACCCCGGCCCCAGCCCCGCTTACCGTGCGCGGCAGCAGCCCCGGCCCCGGCTCCGCGAGGCGCGCGCGGCGGCAGCGAGCGGCATCTGCGGCCCCGCCGCCTCCCGCCGGCGCCGAGCCCCGACGGGGAGGGGGCTCCGGGGCGGCGCCGCCTCCCGGGGCTCCGCCGCGCCCGCCCCCCGCCGCTCCCCCCCGCGGGGACACGGAGCCGGGTCCAGCCCTCGAGCCCCCACGCGGGGACCCGGACCCGCTCAGGACTCCAGAGCGCCCGGGGGACCCCAGGGGAGCTCCCGCATTCGGGCTGCCCGTGACTGTGCTCTGGCGCAGCTGCTGCAGGGACCCCGCTCCTCACTGCACCCACGACCGTGCAGACGGGGTGGGCAAGGCCACCATAGGGCTGCCTGCTGCATCTCCAGCTCGAGATTGCACCCCATGACTTAGGTCCACTTGGCCAGTCCCAAAAGCAGGGTGCAGGACATATGGTGCAGTGAGCCTGGGGGCTCTCTGCCTCACTAAGAGACCCTCCCAGGGGACAAGGTCTGTGCTTAACACCTTTGAGAGGACTTTCCCCAGCTCTAAAAGCAGCCAGGATGGTTAGGGCAGAGCTCTCCTATTTGTATTGCATGCTAATTGAAAGGTTTGCAGATAAGGGATGTGCAGGTGAACAAAGTTTTCCTATCAGTAGAAAAGGAAATGTGATAGAGGCTGAGATCTTCCTAGAAGCCCCGTGAGGAGTCTTGGAGAGTTGGAAGGTGAGTGAAAGAGCAGCCTGGAGAGGAGCAGTGGGTCGGGTACAGGGGGGTCCTCTGCAACCAGAGGTTGCATAACAGAGATCTCTGCAGGGTGTGTTTCTTGAGAGCACAAGGCTGCAGACATGCCTTGGTGCCCTGGCTGCTYCTCCTGCAGAGCAGCCTCTCCTAAACCTCCTGTCCGTGGTGGGAACAGCAGCACTTGACCCTCTCCCATGCAGAGCGGGATGGCTCCCTGTGCTGAGGTGCTCCCCKCGCCCAACAGTGCCCAGGCAGTGGGCACAGGCTGTCTGCCCTGTGTCCCAAGAAGAGCATTGGCCAAATGCATCTGCAAATGTATTTATGCCACCAAAGCTCAACACCTGCTCTGAAAGCCAGGTAATGGGTGCAAAGCAAACCAGCAAATTGGCTTGGTTAYGAGGTACATCTGTTGCTCTGGAAAAGGAGCAGCGTCCAGGTCCTTTGAGTTAAAAGCAAAAGCCCAGATGCGTTTAGGGAGCTGAACGGTGTGGTGGTGGGCAGCGCTGGGCTGCTCGGGGAAGCCTTGTCCTCCACCTGCCTCCAGTGACGGGAGGTGACGCCGGTCCCTGCCGTCTGCCTCGTGCTTGCTCTCTGGGTCCTCCCTGCTCCTGCGCTTCCCAGATGCTTTTGCTTGTAAGAAGATTATATCGCTCTCCTGGGTCTATTCGGTGTGTATGGACTACGGAGAGCTAAAAATAATCCCCTTGCTAGAGATTTAAAGGGCAGAGCTTGGGCAGTGGGGTGGACGGGCCGCAGCCAGATGTGCTGCACCCCGAGCCTTCCTGCAGCAGCAGCTGCGGGAGAAGCCGGAGGGCCCTGGGCAGRGGCCCGAGCCCCTCTGTGGAGGCCAGGGGACAGCGCCGGGCACCGCTGGCCCTTTCTAGGGGTCTACAGAGCTGTGCAAAGCTTTGATGGTGCAGGATGAGCCCTGGTGCAGGGAATCCTGCCCCAGGCTGGGCTGTGCAGGGAATCCTGCCGCATCTTGGGCTGCGCAGGCGTGCAGGGATGCTCTCCCCAGCAAGGTGCAAACCCAGGTCTGGGCTGGGTGCTGGCTGCCTTTGCAGTGTGTGTGGCCAAGGCACCCTGCGCTGCCAGGGCGTGAATCGCTGCAGGCCTCAGCCCRCCCAAACAGTGCCGGGGACGGCCCCTGTCCCGGGGCTGGCACGCTGCCGGCCGGTGCGTGTCGATGCTGCCCGCTGAGCAGCGGGGAATGCGCTTCCCAGCGTTTCTAAGGGGACCTGCAGAAACAAAGCCCTTCTCCGGGAGGGCTGGCGGGAGCGAAGTGGTCACTGCGTGGGGACAGCACGTAGCGCACGAGCAGTGCTGGCCTCTCCTCCCTGCGGGTCCCGGCYGCAGTCCAGACACGTGTCTGTGTCCCCACGGAGCGCAGGAGGGCACCCGGGCGCCCAGCAGCAAAAGTCCTGGTTTGGCACTCAGATCAGCAGTGGCACCAGCTGAAAGCTGCCCTCTCCCGGGGCTGGGGACGCTTCCAGCCTGGAGCCGACCTCCCTCGTGCCGGCACAAGCCGCGTGGCGCGGCCCTGTGCGCCAACATTGCTGCTCCCCACGGATATTGCCACGGCCATCTCCGTGGCAGCAGGGCGCTGCTCGTGGGTGCTGGTCGGCGGGGTGGGTGCCTCGCGCACCCCTCCTGCCTCCCAGCTCCTTGGGGAGGCCGCGTGAGCAGCCGCGCAGCTGGCCGGGGGGACGTGGCTCCAGAGGCCCTCAGCGAGGTGTATTTTATTTTACCAGAGCCAAAGCAAACTGAAATTGCTTTATCCATCACTGCTCCRGGCTTGCAGCAGGCCCCATCGATAATGGGAGGTGCGGAGGGCGGCCAGCCCAGSCCCTCTCGGAGCCCGGTGCAGCAGCCAGGAATTCCCTGCAGCTGCGAAATCAGGGACTGCCTCGTCCGAGCGGGTAGGCACCCTCGTGTGCCCCAAAGCAAGGGGAGCAGCCAGGCCAGGTGCCCGGCTTTGCTGATGCTTCGGCCACTGCTGTTTTCAGTGTGGGGAGAGCTGTGCAGAGCGGGAGGCAGCCGCAGGGCTGCGCAGCCCAACGGCCCGTGCCCGCGAGAGGGGCTGGAGGCAGCTCTGCAGGATCAGGTCAGGCACCGGCGGCTTGTCCAAGTGAGACATCTCTGTTAGCTGCGAGACGCTGCTGCTGGAGCCAGCGCTGGGCTCTGAGGTCCTGGCCTTGCAGGTGGGAAGCACCGACGGAGCCATCCCGGAGTGTCCCAGAGCAGCTCCTGGTGCAGGGGGACAACACGGAGTGTGCGTGCGCACCCGCRTGCCCCTCCTCTCTTGGGCCTTGCTGCCCCAAGCTACCACGTTCTCTGGGGCTTCTTCATGTGGGCCTGGGTGGAAGGCAACCTCCTCCTGGAGGAMACGCGCCCCGTGTTTCACAGGTGAATCTGGCCACGTTCTCTCTCTTTACACAGAAAACCCACACATCTCAGACGAGCTGGGTGTCTCTGAGCGCTCCCAACAGGGGTGGCCATTCAGCAAACATCTGGCCACACGTTTCCCTCCACTCTGGAGCTTCCACCGCCCGACGCTGCAGCTATCCCTGCTCTCCCTGTTGAGGCTGGGACCCGA